CTTCCAATTTCTTTTATTTATTTTTTTAAATTTATGTATTTGGTACAGGGTATCACAGAGCTCGGACTCTTAGTGATCCTCCTGTTTTCAAACTCCCCACTGCTGGGATTACAGGCATGGGCCACCATGCCCAGACTCAGTCGCCAGCTCAGTGTGCTCAGGGGCATAGCCTGGTGCCAGGGATCAAACCCTGGTCCCTCCAGTTGCCAAAGCAGGCGTTTAGTCTGCTGAGCTATCTCACCAGCCCTCAGCCTTCCTACTCCTACTCTAGCCCTCTTCCTTCAGCCACATTGACTTCCTACATTAAAAAAAAAAAAACCCACTGACTTCAACTCTCTGTCCAAGCACGAAGCCCCCACCCCAACCCTCGCAATCTTCTCTTACCCCCACTGTCCCTGCTGGCACCCACACGATCCTGCTGCCACATCTATTTCTTTTGCTAATGACACCCCCGAGGATGATCCACACGCGCGCAGAAGCACTAAATGACAACACACACCTGCTAAGGTGCACCTCTACATTCTTAATGATTCAGCGTGACTTCTAGACCACACCTGGGCCCATAAGGATTATCAGCCCAGCTCATGGAAGAAAGAATAACTGGCTTAAGATAGGCCTCAGATTAGTAGAGATGAGCCGGTACCTTCCAAAAATCATAGAAAAGAACTTACAGGACAAAAGCCGTGCCCCATGGAGATGCCTTCTGAAGGGAACACACCCACACTAACTCTAACCTAACTGTAAATAAAGTGATATCAGGCAGGACTCCACCCCGCTTGCATTTAAGCCATAGGAGTGACTTAAATACTTCAAAATCCTCATCGCAAATTTCAGCCACAAAATTTTATCACAGAGACCCCAACAATGGCCTGGAATCTTCCACACCACCAAATACCTATGCAACAGTTAAATGAATTTAGGATCACTTTTTCCAGTTCTCCTGCATTTTCAATTCCAAAGAATAAATGATTTGCTTTTAGCAGAGGACAGGTGCTGAAAGTACGCCAATTTAAATATTACCCAAGAAAATCTCACGTTCCCTAACATTACACTTAAATTCATTCATTCAACACAACCCTCACAAACTTAGGGTTGTTTTGTTTTGTTTTGTGACAAGGTCTGGCTATGAAGTCCAGGTTCGCCTTGAACTCACTATGTATCCTAGGCTGGGTTTAAACTGGCATGGATCCTCCTGCCTCAGCCTCCCTGGAGCTGGGATGACAGGCCTGTGCCGACACACTGGACAGACAGAGGTGTTTCTGCTAACTCCGTCCCACTCTCCTTCCTCATCTTCAAATGTGGCCTCTAACACTTGCCATTCTATCAGGTAATTTGTATCACCAAGCAAATCTTACCTTGTAGCAGTGAAGAAAGAAACGTCAGGTGGTCTTCACAACTGCTGCTACTCCAAGACTCCCCTTAAGGACCTAGCATTGATTTTAAAAGAGAAAAATAGAAATCAAAACACCTCTATCTACAGAAGCCCTTAGGTCCACCAACTACAATTAATCACTTTCCATGTCTAAACACTGGCATTCTTAGCTCGACATCACTGTGTTAAAATAAACTAGAGCCAGATGAGATGAAATTGATTTTAATTATTCATCTCATTCTCATATCCGAAATTCACCCAATCAAATCTCTCATCGTCTAATAGATGGGTGAAAGTGACAGGATATTCGATACAACTTTAATTCCCCCCCCCAAATTTATCTTTAGAATTACCCCAATACTTTAAAGGACACACACTTTGCAAATAATGGATATCTATCCTGTAAGCAGTTTTTATCCACATGCTACCAAAATGTTTTCAATCACAGATTGTGCAAAGTATTCAAAAATCATTTTTTAACCAAAGAAACAAAACTACACCTTTAAAACTACACAGGACACTGAGGCTGAGGATATAATTCAGAGGCACTGCGCCTGCACAAGGTCCTGAGTTCGATTCCCAGCACCAACAAATAAATAAATACCAAAAAATGTACACAGGGCGTCTACATACATAACTATACAGCCAAGAAATGTAACATGGGCCCCAATTTACATTTCCCAGAGAATAAAATGACCAGCATATATAAAAGGTAAATCCTTAAAAGACCTTTCTCCGTTTTTTTTTTCCAGTTTTAAACACATTATGTCATTTTGTACTCTTATTAATATTCAAAATGAAATCATTCTCCTTGACTCATAACTAAAAATTGAGGAAAGACACAACGACACAGAAAACCACGCAACTGTCCCTTCCCTGGGAGCGCCCGGGGGTCAAATCCAACAAGAAAAGCAAAGGATGCTTTTGCGTCATGGTAAAACGGAGGAACACGACGGGGCCTGAACGCTGGGCGCGCGGCTCTCGCTTTACCCAGCTCTCCGCTCCGCTCCGCCGCAGCCCTGCACGCAGCCGGGGCGGCCGCCGCGGTCCTCTAAGGACTCCCACGTCTGAGCCGGCCGCGTAGCCACAAGTACAGGCCAAACTTTGCTCCCGGCCTCGCGAACTTAGGACGCGTCCAACCACTAGAGGTCTCCCCTTGGCCAGTTTTGCACGTTCGCTATTTTGAGGCACTTGAAACTTTCCGGAGAAATGCTCTCTAGTGGAGTCAGTGTTTTTGTAAAAACTTGCGCAAAAATCCACGCGACCGAGATGGCCAGGGCAGAGCCCCGGGGCTCCCACCGCCAACAAACGCGTCGCCAGCAACGATCTAAGATCCAGATGACAATCCCGCGCGCTCGACCGCCCCGGCCGACGCCCCCACGGCCCCTCAATCCGTACTTCACCCCTCCGCTTCCCCTTCCCTGGGAACAATTTTTTTTTAATCTAGTTTTGTTTCCGTGCTCTCCGAATGATCCCGAGGGCATGCTGCTGGCGGGGACCCCGGTGGTTGAGGAGTGGGCTCGCGGATGGGGGGCGCCCAGGAAGTTGCAGAAGGAGAGAGACTGTTTTTCGGGTCCCCTCAAAAA